GCCGGGGGGCGGGGGGGAGGGGGCTGGCGGTGGCGGTGGTGACAGCCCTGTCACCCTGTCCCCCCGCAGGTGAGCGCGTGGAGGGGGTGACAGCCCAGGACGTGCTTCTGGTCCACTCGTGCCGGCAGTGGACGACGGTGACAGCCCACAGCCTGGAGGAGGGACACTACGTCATCGGGCCCAAAATCGACATCCCGCTCCAGTACCCAGGTGGGGGAGGGGCGGGGCTGGGGACAACGGCGACAACGGGAATGGTGTCCCTGGGCCAGCAGAGCCGGGACATGGCCCCCCTCCCCTTCCCTTCCCCCGCCCGCTGGGGCTGCTCCAGTAAGGTCCAGTTTGGGGCAGGAGATGCTCTGGTTTGGGGGCTGCCCCCACCCCTGGCAGAGCTGCAGAGGGGACTGGCAGGGATTGGGATGGAATGGGATGGGATGGGATCCATGGGATGGGATAGGATGGGATGGGATCCATTGGATGAGATGGGATCCATTGGGATGGGATGGGATGGGATCCATGGGATGGGATCCATGGGATGGGATGGGATGGGATCCATGGGATGGGATCCATGGGATGGGATGCAGACAAGGACAGCGATGGGACGCAGACAAGGACAGGGATGAAGTTGGGGTAGGACGGGATAGAGCTGGGAATGGGAGAGAGATGAGGACGGGATGGGGAAAAGGGAGAGGGACGAGCTGGGATGGGATGAGGAAGGGATGGGATGGGCTGAGCTGGGGAGGAGCTGGGCTGGGATGAGGATGAGGATGGGGCCGGGCTGGGGCCGGCAGTGCACACGAAGGTGCTGAGCTGCCTCTGCCGGCAGCCGCCAGAGCCTTAATGACCCCTCTAAGTGCTCCGTGGCGGTAATGAGTCCTGCTAATAAATAAATAATGGGAAATGGAGGGGGGGAGGGGTTAATCACCGGTCCCAGGGGGGATGCAGGGGGCTGGGCAGTGTGTTAACAGCCTTGGGGCTCGGCCGTGCCCGGCGCTGCCCCGGGATGTGGGGCTGAGCCGGCTCCAGCCCCGAGCCGAGCGAGGAGCTCTGGTGTCCCAGCTCCGCCGGCAGGACGGGAGGGGAATTAATAAATTAATATTCCCCTCAGGTCCGTGCCCGGCAGCGGATGCCGGTGGCTGCGGCTTCGCTGGGGCTGCAGCTCCCCCGTTCCCATTCCTGCCTTCCCCGTTCCCGTTCCTGCCTTCCCCGTTCCCGTTCCTGCCTTCCCCATTCCCGTTCCTGCCTTCCCCATTCCCGTTCCTGCCTTCCCCGTTCCCATTCCTGCCCTCCCCGTTCCTGCCTTCCCCGTTCCTGCCTCTCCCCGTTCCCATTCCTGCCCTTCCCCACTCCCGTTCCTGCCTTCCCCACTCCTGTTCCTGCCTCTCCCCGTTCCCATTTCTCCTCTCCCCGTTCCCATTTCTCCTCTCCCCGTTCCCGTTCCTGCCCTTTCCCGTTCCTATTCCTGCCCTTCCCCGCTCCCGTTCCTGCCCTCCCCGTTCCCATTCCTCCTCTCCCCGTTCCCATTCCCACCTTCCCCATTCCTATTCCTGCCTTTCCCCGTTCCTGCCTTCCCTGTTCCCATTCCTGCCCTTCCCCGTTCCCGTTCCTGCCTTTCCCCATTCCTGCCCTTCCCCATTCCCATTCCTGCCCTTCCCCATTCCCTTTCCTTCCTCTCCCCACTCCCGTTCCTGCCTTTCCCCGTTCCCATTCCTGCCCTCCTCATTCCTGCCTTCCCCGTTCCTATTCCTGCCTTCCCCGCTCCCGTTCCTGCCTTTCCCCATTCCCATTCCTCCTCTTCCCATTCCCATTCCTCCTCTCCCTGTTCTTCCCATTCCTCCTCTCCCCATTCCCATTCCTGCCCTCCCCATTCTTCCCATTCCTCCTCTCCCCGTTCCCATTCCTCCTCTCCCCATCCCCGTTCCTCCTCTCCCTGTTCCCATTCCTCCTCTCCCCGTTCCCGTTCCCGGTTCCCTTCCCGGTGTCTCTCCCACCTGAGCCATGGGGTCACTGTGCCCTGGCAGAGCTGGGATGGGATTCTGGGGGGCAGTGGGCACCCCTGATGATTTGGGCTGCTCTGGGTGTGTTCTTGCACTCCCAGGAACGCTTTTGGGGGTCCCTGCAGCTCTGGGGGTGCCGAGTGGCACTGCTGGGACACCCCATGGACCCCTTGCCTTGTCCCCCACCCCAGAAACCCCCCAGTGGCTGTTGGGGGGGTGGAGGGCCAGGGGATGCTTTGGGGTCCCCTTGCAGCACTTGGACTCTGGCAAAGCCCACAGGAGCGTCCCCAAAGACGTGGTGGGGACCGCAGGCTGTCTCAGGGGTGGCTGTGCCCCGTGAAGGGCTCTGCTGGCCCCAGGGGATGGTGACAGCAGGTCCCTGTGAGGGGTCGGGCCCCTCTCACCTCGGGGGTCCCCTCAGGGAAGTTCAAGCTGCTGGAGCAGGACCGGGACCTCCGCGAGCCCGTGCAGTACTTCAACAGCGTGGAGGAGGTGGCCAGCATCTTCCCAGACCGCATCTTCGTCATGGAGGCCATCACCTTCAGCGTGAAGGTCCTGGGGACAGCAGGGGACGGGGCTGGGCAGAGGGGGACACTGGTGGGACAGCAGGGAGTGCTGGTGGGACGGCAGGGGACACCGAGGGCAGGGGTGGGGCAGGAGGGGAGTGGGGTGAGGTGACAGGGACTTTGGGGGTTGGTGGGACATCAGGAGAGGACGGTGGGACAGTGAAGGTTGGGGGTGGGACACCAGGGGTGAGTGGTGGGATATTGGGGGAATTGCTAGGACACCACTGCAGGGTGGGGGGAATAAAGTGGGGAGCGTGGGAAAGCAAGGGACAGGGCTGGGACATCAGGAGAGGACAGTGGGACAACAGGGAGTTGTGGTGGAGCGCCAGAGATGGTGGTGAGATGATGTCAGGGGATGGTGGTGGAGTGTCAGGGATGGGTGGGACACCAGGGGATGGTGGTGGGATGTCAGGGATGGTGATAGGACATCAGGGGATAATGGTGGGATGTCAGGGATGGTGGTGGGATGTCAGGGGATGCTGGTGGGCCATCAGGGGTAGTGTTGGGGTGTCAGGGATGCTGGTGGGCCCTCAGGGGTAGTGTTGGGGTGTCAGGGATGCTGGTGGGCCATGAGGAGTAGTGTTGGGGTGTCAGGGATGCTGGTGGGCCATGAGGAGTAGTGTTGGGGTGTCAGGGATGCTGGTGGGCCCTCAGGGGTAGTGTTGGGGTGTCAGGGATGCTGGTGGGCCATCAGGAGTAGTGTTGGGGTGTCAGGGATGCTGGTGGGCCATCAGGGGTAGTGTTGGGGTGTCGGGGGCGCAGGGCAGGGCAGCGGGTGCCACGTCGGGGCTGTCGCGGGCAGGTGGTGTCGGGGGAGTTCAGCGAGGACAGCGAGGTTTACAACTTCACGCTGAACGCGGGGGACGAGCTGACGCTGATGGGGCAAGCGGAGATCCTGTGCGCCAAGACGGTGAAGGAGAAGTCGCGCTTCAACACCCTCCTGCGCAAGCTGGGCAAGGCGGCGCCGGCGGCGGGGGCGCGGCAGGTGAAGGGCAAGATGCCGTGTCTGATCTGCATGAACCACCGCACCAACGAGAGCCTGAGCCTGCCCTTCCAGTGCAAGGGCCGCTTCAGCACGCGCAGCCCGCTGGAGCTGCGCCTGCAGGAGGGCGAGCACACCATCCGCAGCATCATCGAGAAGGTGAGGCTGCCCGTCAACGTGGCCGTGCCCAGCCGGCCCGCCCGCAACCCCTACGACCTGCACGCCATCCGCGAGGGCCACTGCTACAAGCTGGTCAGCATCATCTCCAAGACGGTGGTGCTGTGCTGCATCCTGCGCCGGGAGGAGCTGGTGCCTTTCCACTTCTTGCTGCTGACCGACATGCCCCGCTTCCAGCTGCCCGAGGGGCTGCTGGCCGGGGACCCGCAGCTGGAGAAGCTGCTGCGGGACAGCGCCGCGTATTGCCACGACCGCTTCAACCCCGACGAGTACTCGCGGGCCGTGCGAGAGGCCAAGCCGGACTTTCTGGAGGAATGCGCGAGCCCGCGGCGCCTGCGGCTCTGCCTGCCCGCCTGCGGCCGCGAGGAGCTCAGCCAGCCCCTGCGGCGCCTCTCGCTCTGTGCCTGCGGCTCCGGGGGTCCCCGGGAGCCCCCCGCCCGCTGCCAGGGACCGCGGGGCCTCGGCGGGGGCACCCCGCGCCCGCCGCTGCCCGACTTCCCCGACCCCGAGCGGGAGTACATGACGCCCGATTGGGCCGAGCCCGAGTTCAGGACTCAGGAGCCGCTGGAGATTCCCTACGAGGAGCTGTGGAGCAATCCCAGCCCGGAGGGCTGCTGCGAGCTGGGCAGCAGCGGCGTGCGGCCCGACCTCGTCTCCTTCGGGGCTGTCACCCCGCTGGGCTCCCCGCACCGCCCCGGGGACAGGGATGAGCCCCGCGGGGACACCCCGCCCCCTGTGCCACCCAAATCGGAGGCGGTAAGAGCCCGGTCCTGTCCCCAGGGATGGGGAATGGCATCGCCGGGGTGCTGGCAGCCAATCCGTGGCAAGGCCAGCGCCGTGGCAGGGCAGCCCGATCCCCTCCCTGTCCCTTGGCCCTGGTCACCCAAACATCCAGCCTCGGTTCCCAGGGCTGCCCATCACCGATCCTGGGGACACCCTCGTACCGCGGCACCCCCGGTTCCCCAGGGCTCTCTGCACCAGCGGGTACCTCAAGCTCTTGGGCTGCCCGGAACCGTGGGGTACCCAGATCCTCTGGCCTTCCCTACACAAAATTTCAGGCTCCCCTTCACCACGGGGTTCCCCAATATTTTAGTCTCCTCGCACCACGGGGTAGGAGGGCCCCAACTCTCCCCACTTGCACGCAGAGCTTTGTGGCCGGGCAGCACCGGCTGTCCCCGAGCCCCCATCACCCCCTCCAGTGATCCGTGGGGATCCCCAGCTCCCGCTGGGGCCCTGACGGCGCTGCCCCGTTGCAGGTGAAGGAGGAGTGCCGGCTGCTGAACGCGCCCCCGGTGCCGCCCCGGGGCAGCCGCCCCCCGGCCCCCTGCAGCCCCCCGGCCCCCCTGCGCTGCCCGAAACTGGCACCCGTGCCCTCGCCCAGCCCCAGCCTCTCCTACTACTCCTCGGGGCTCCACGACCGGTGAGTGGCTCCGGGGACTCTGGAGAGGGTGTGGAGGGGGGGCGTACCTGGAACCCGGGGATGGGGACACCGCGCCGGGGTGATGGTGACAGTGCCCTCGCCCCCGTAGGTCGGCCCCGCGGAGCGGCAGCGCCTCGCCCTCTCCGGACGCCTACTCGCTGTACTGCTACCCCTGCACCTGGGCCGACTGCAAGGCCTCCGAGCCCCCCGGGCGGCCGCTGCCCCCGGCCCAGCCCGCGCCCAGCTCCTGGTCCGACCCCTGGGCGTTCCCCGAGCCGGGCGCCGGGGCGGGCAGCGGCTGCTCCACGCCGCTGCTGGGGGCCGAGCCCCCCCTCAAACCGTTCCGCAGCTGCCCCCGCCTCAAGCCCCCGCACCCCCAAAAGCGTTTTGCCCCCTTCGGGGCTCTCAACCCCTTCGCCGGCCCGGCGGAGTGGCCGGAGAGCCCCGAGTGGTCCAAAGCGCCTTCGGCCCCGGCCGCTCCCTCCTCCTCCTCCTCGCCGGAGCCCTTCGCCCCCGCCGAGGAGCCGGCGGCACCCCCTCGCCCCCCCAAGGGCTTGGACGGGGACGGCATCGTCATCCGGGGGGCGGCCCCGCTGTCCCCCGCCGTGCTGCGCGGGGCCGAGGGCGTCACCCGCGTGTACCTGGCGCAGGGGGTGATCGAGGTGCCGCCAGCGGCGCGGGGCGATGGGGCAGCACCCCCGGGTGCCCCCCGGCCCGGCGGGGACAGCCCGGCCTGGCTGCCCCCCGCCGACCTGTCGGCGCTGTCGCTGGAGGAGGTGTCCAAGTGCCTGCGCTTCATCGGCCTCTCCGAGGACGTGGTGAGCTTCTTCGCCCGCGAGAGGATCGACGGCAGCATCTTCGTGCAGCTCAGCGAGGAGATCCTGGCCGATGATTTCCGCCTCACCAAGCTCCAGGTGAAGAAGATCATGCAGTTCATCAAGGGCTGGCGCCCCAAGATCTAGTGCCAGGCCGGGGGCCCCCTGCACTGGGGGGGTCCCCAAGTCACCTGGAGCTCTGGGTGGCCCCGCTCCCGTCCCTCTCTGATGCTGCAGGTTCTCCTCTCCCATTGCCCAGCCCTCCCCCCTTTCCCCTTTTAACACTGGACAGTAATTTTGGCCCCAACGGGCTGGAAAACACTGGATTTTGCGTCGACTGGTTTAACTTAATCCTTGTGGATTAGCATAATAAATGTACGGGAGAGTAATGAGCCCCCAGAGAAGGCCCTTGCTTGGGGAGGAGGGGAAGGGGGGAGGATGGATGCTCTGAGGGGTCTTTCCCCACCTTGCAGACCCTTCCCATTTCTTGGGAAGGGATTACCAGCCCCATGCCTCTCCCAGCACTCAGCAGAGGCAGGTGAGATGATGTCTTGGCCCTTGGTTCTGGTCTGGGAGCTTTGAAAGACAGGGAGAGGTGACATGAAGAGCAGCATGGCTCAGCCATGGCCCAAGGCCTGCCAGGGAGCAGGAAAATGGCTGGAAGCTGGAAAGGAAGCCAGGGAGGGGGGGCCAGGCCAGTGACAGGTGCCCAGAGATTTAAAGCCTTTTAGTTTAACTTGATCTCTCCCCACGGGGGGGCCCTCTGGCCTTTGCCTGCTCGATCTGCAATTACAGGCAGGTCCATCTGCCAGGATCACCTGCCAGGATCACCCCGTGGCAGAGAGCTGGAGGCTCCTCACAGCCCCTGAGTGATGGCAGAGGTGACACTGCTTTGTCCTGCACTGCTGCCATCCTGCCCCTCCATGGACAGGACCCCAGGGCACTGCCTGGACCACTCAATCCCCACTCAAGCTGTTCCCTCAGGGGGATGGGAGGAGAAGCAGGAGTCCAAACCCAGGAGATGGGGCTTTATTTTGGTGGATGTTGATGGAAAGACAAGGCCTCGGCTCCAGCCACAAGCTGGATGCTACTGGCCAGACTGGGAGCTCTGGAGGCCACGGCATGAAGGCAAGGGCAGCAGAGGAATTCCCTCCCCCAGCATGGAGCCCCCAGGCCCAGGCTGGCATGGGACGGACGTTCCCAACACACAGTGGCTGGTAAGGCACTTGAAATGACTACAAGCCATGAGGCAACCTCCTGCCCCACTCCTTCCTTCCTTTCTTCTTTCTTTCCTTCCTTTCTTCCCTTCCTCCCCGGGGAGCTTTGGAGATTAACCTATGGAGAATGGGGTGTTGTGGGGAGCCAGGGCCCGGCTGGAGGAGCTGTCGGGGTGTCACCAGGCCACCTCAGGGGTGGAATTTCTTGCTGGGGCTGTTGGCGTGGTCCAGCAGGAGCTGGCACGGTGTGAACTGGCTGCCGTACACGGCCTCGTACTTGCGCAGTTTGTCCACGAGCTGCCGGGCGCCGTAGGAGTCCGCGAACCTGAAGGGACCTGTGGGGACAGGGACACAGCTGTGACAGGGAAACGGCAGGGACGGAGACACGGTGGGGATGGGGACAGGGACACAGCTGTGACAGGGAAACGGCAGGGACGGAGACACGGTGGGGATGGGGACAGGGACACAGCTGTGACAGGGAAACGGCAGGGACGGAGACACGGTGGGGATGGGGACAGGGACAGCTGTGACAGTCACACAGCTGTGACAGGGACATGATGGGGATGGGGAAAGGGACATGGCTGTGACAGGGACACGGCAGGGATGGAGACACGGTGGGGATGGGGAAAGGGACATGGCTGTGACAGGGACACAGCAAGGACAGGGACATGGCAGGGACGGGGACACGGCTGGGACATGGCAGGGAAAGGGACACATCTGGGATAGGGACACACTGCTGTGACACGGACACGGCAGGGTCAGGAACACAGCTGTGACAGGGACACGGCAAGGACAGGGACATGGCAGGGACGGGGACACGGCTGGGACATGGCAGGGAAAGGGACACATCTGGGACAGGGACACTGCTGTGACACAGACATGGTGGGGTCAGGAACACAGCTGTGACAGGGACACGACCGGGACAGGAACACGGCGGGGACAGGGGGAGAGCTGGGACAGGGACACAGCTGTGACAGGGTCATGATGGGGATGGGGAAAGGGACATGGCTGTGACAGGGACATGGCAAGGACAGGGACATGGCTGTGACAGGGACACTGCTGTGACATGGACACGGCAGGGTCAGGAACACAGCTGTGACGGACACGACCGGGACAGGAACACGGTGGGGACAGGGGGAGAGCTGGGACAGGGACACATTGGGGACAGGGACACGGCTGTGACAAGGACACATTGGAGATGGGGACACGGTGGGGACAGGGACACAGCTGGGACAGGGACACGGCTGGGACAGGGCAGGGACAGGGACACATGGCTGTGACACACAGGTGGTGGGGACAGGAACACAGCTGTGACAGGGACACAGCAGGGACAGGGACACGGCGGGGACAGGGACACGGTGGGGACAGGGACATGGCTGGGTCATGGCAGTGACAGGGACACAGAGGGGACAGGGACACAGCTGTGACAGGGACGCACCAAGGTGCCTGGAAGGGTCCCAGCATCCAGAAGCAACGGCTTTGTCCCATTCATCCTTCTCCACAGGAGACCCCCCCAGTCCCTCATCAGGGACTCTGCTCCCTGCTCACCTGAGCTAGGGAGGGCTGGGGACAAGCTGGGACATGGATAATCACAGAGTCATGGATGGTTTGGGTGGGAAGGGACCTCAAAGCCCATCCATTCCCACCCTGCCAAGTCTCACTACCTCCCACTGACCCAGGGTGCTTCCAGCTCCAATGTCCAACCTGGCCTTGGGTGCTTCCAGGGATCCAGGGGCAGCCCCAGCTGCTTTGGGCACCCTGTGGCAGGGCCTGCCCACCCTGCCAGGGAACAATTCCTAATTCCCAATATCCTGTCCAACCATGGGAAGCCATTCCCCATTATCCTGCCCCTCCAGGCCTTTGTAAAGAGTTGCTCCCTCAGTCTGAACATGGCTCAAGGAGGGAAAGCACCAGGCACATGGCAGAAGCACCACCTCAGGTCCAAGAGCCCTTGGTGAACTCCAGCAGCAGAGGGAAGAGACAGCATCAGAATCAAGGAATTATTTAGGGGGGAAAAGCCTTTTGAGACTATTGAGTCCAAACATTCCTCAGCAGTGCCGAGACTACAACTAACCCACGGGCTTTTGAATCCCTCCAGGCATGTGGTGTCCAGCCCTGCTCTGCACAGCTGTGCCAGTGCTGGACAGCCTGGAATTATTCCCAATATCCAACCTACACCTTCCCTGACGCAGCCTGAGGCCGTTTCCTCAGGCTGCAGCTCAAACCTGGCCTTGCCACGTGGCTTCAGCCCACGAGGAGCTTTGGAGCCCAAAGCTCAGCCCAGAGCACTCACCTCCCAGGCAGGGGGGGAAGCCCAGGCCGAACACAGCCCCGATGTCCCCCTCCACGGGGTTGCTGAGGATGCCCTCCTGCAGGCACATGGCTGCCTCGTTGACAAACCGCGTCACCAGGCGCATCTGGATGTCCTCGTCGGAGCAGCTGTGGGACACAGGCTGTGAGAGCTGGGCAGGGACAGCACACAGGTGGGACACGGAGCCAGGCCAGGGGTGGGAATGTCCCAGTCCATGTGAGGATCAGAGCTTAGCTCTGTGAGTGTCCTGAAGCAGGCACTAAGAATCAGGCTGAGATTGGAAGGGACCACTGGGGCTCCTCTAGTCCAATCTCTCTGCCCAAGCAGGTTTCCTGGAGCATGGCATGCAGGATTGTGTCCAGGTGGATTTGGAATAAAAGTAAAGGCTTGATCAGCTTCTGTGTTCAGCAATGCCATGGAATGACAGAATGGTTTGGGCTGGAAGGGACCTTAAAGCTCATCCAGTGCCACCCCTGCCATGGACAGGGACACCTCTCACTGTCCCAGGTTGCTCCAAGCCCCAGGGATCTTCCAGGGGATGCAGGGGCAGCCCCAGCTGCTCTGGGCACCCTGTGCCACGGCCTGCCCACCCTGCCAGGGAACAATTCCCAATTCCCAATCTCCCATCCAGCCCTGCCCTCTGGCACTGGGAGCCATTCCCTGGCTCCTGTCCCTGCAGGCCTTGTCCCCAGTCCCTCTGCAGCTCTCCTGGAGCCCCTTCAGGCCCTGCCAGGGGCTCTGAGCTCTCCCTGGATCCTTCTCCTCTCCAGGTGAGCCCCCCCAGCTCTGCCAGCCTGGCTCCAGAGCAGAGGGGCTCCAACCCTGGAGCACCATGTCCCTCAATGCCACCTGATGCACCTCGTGCTGCTGCTGAGAGCACAAGGAGCTGGGCAGTGCAGGAGCCAGCCCCAGCCTTCCCTCACACACAGGTACTCACACGTCAGGATTCGCTGGCACCCTGAACTTCTCCAAGATCTCATCCATGCCAGAATTCACACTCCTGTTCTTCACTCCCTCCTGGTACACGTAGAAGCCTTTCCCTGCCTTGCGACCTGCAGGGATCACAGCAGACAAGTCAGCTCCTGCACGTGTCCTGTTTCCTCCTGACACCCTGGATCCTGTTTTGTGCCTGCTGTTCCTGCTCCCAGCACTCTGCACCTCAGAGCACAGATCTGCTGCTTCAGCAGGGGCACAGGGAAGGGACCCAGCTCCCCCTTGGCAAGATGCTGCCACTGTGCCAGGCCCTTTCTCTGGGTCCAGAGGCCCAACAGCACCACTCCTTCTATGGGAGGGATTCCTGCCCCATTCCCAGCGCTGCTCTCCCCCTGCTGTTGCCTTCCCCAGAGCAGAGGGGACACTCTTTAGCTGAGAACACCTTAGCAGCTCACCTAAGAAGCCTTTCTGCACCATGAGCTTGAAGAGGTCGATGCTGCCCCCTCCGAAGCGCTGGCCAAAGGCCTTGCCCAGGTCCTCGGCCACGTGTGTGGCCACGTCCACGCCCACCTCGTCAATCAGCGTGGCCGCTCCCACCGGGAAGCCGAAGGCAGTGGAGATGGCATCCACCTTCTTTGGGTCAATACCCTCCTGCGGGATAGGAGGGGAAGCCATGGGATCTCGGGATGAGGTGAGGCAGAGAGCCCAGCCCCATTAACTGACTGCAAACAGGAGCCAAGAGCAGGCTGGGGACAGCCACAAAACACAGGGTTGGTGACCCACATCCTCTCCTGTCCACAGCCAGGCTGACCCCACCCCAGCCCTGGTCAAAGCAGAAGCATTTTCCATGACTATTTGGGGGATGCTCACCTGGAGAACTCGGACCACCTCGGACAGCATTGGCCCCAGGCACCTGGTGGTGTAGAATCCAGGCCCATCCTGGGAAAAGGAGTGCAGCAGGGAGGCAGGTGAGTTCTTGGTAGCACCAGAACTGTGGTTCACAGCCCAGGCTGCACTTCAGCCACCCCAAAACCCATCTCCTACACTATGGTGCTGACTGCTAGAATAGGTTTGGGGTTCTTTTTCCCCTGTAGGGCTCAGCAGTGTTTGCAGGCTTCCATGAACTTACTCCCTGGAAGTTCCCATGGCAGTGTTTTTATTTGAACTAGTGCCTGCAGGTCCAGAGCAGGCTGCTGCTTCACCAAGCCCAACAGGCTGGTGAGGAAAAGGGTGCTCAGCACAAGGGAAACCAACACAAGCCAGTTCTTCCACCTCTGCTGCTCCCCACAAAGTCAGGAAACAAGAGATGAGCTGCAAACTGCCCTTCAGGGAGGCAGCTGAGGTGGGGATGAGGCTCAGGGGAGCAGCACCGTGTCCCCACTGGTGTTTGGAGATGCCCAGAGCACTTTGTGACAAACCAGCTTTCCCAGCACTACAAGAGAGACGTGCTCAGCATTCTGGCACCCTCAGGAATCAGGAAAAAGACAGGGACACCTTCCTGTGCCCCAGGTTGCTCCAAGCCTTGTCCAATCTGGCCTTGGACAATTCCAGGAGTGGGACAGCCACAGCTCCTCTGAGCAACCTGTGCCAGAGCCTCCCCACCCTCACAGGGAAGAATTTCTCCCTAATATCCAATCTAAATCCACTTTTCCATGTATTCCTGCCCCTCTCCCCTAAGATTTAAGCCAGGCAGAGGAGGGTTGCTGCTCACTGACCCTCTGTCCTTGCAGCCTGCCAGGGAGCTGAGCTGGTGACAGTCCTGTGCAGACTGCTCTGTCTGGGATGCCCTGGAAGCTGTGTGGGGCAGGAGTGCCAGCTCCTCGTGCTGGCCCTGCACGTGTGCCTGGTGGCTTTCCATGGCTCTGAGGGACATGTGAGGATCACCTGGGCACTTGCCCCTTTCTGACTTCCCTTTTCACTTCTCAGAGGAATAGCCAATGTGTCCACACACGTTTCACCCTCCCCTCAGTGCAGAAACCCTTTTATTTATTACCCAGCAGTGTGCAGTGTCCCCTCACCTTCACCACGATGACCACTTTGCCCTGTTTGAGGCCAACAGCAACAGCAGAAGCAGCTGTGTCCTGGGAGGTTTTGTCTGTGGTGATGATTTCCAGCAGCTGCATCTTGTCAACAGGAGAGAAGTAGTGCATCCCAATCACCTGGCAGACAGAAGAGCTGGGTTCAGAGGGATTCTGGCTCCCAGAGCAATCAGCTGGGCAAGCTGAGTGCAGAGGGAAGGCCCTGAGCACACTCTTATCCCTCTGTGACAGGAGTGCTCTCCAATTCCCTTCTCTCCTTGGTTTTCCCAAGGACACAGCACATGCCCAGGAGCTCCTGCCTTTGAGGATGAAGGTACAATTTTTACAGGACCACTTCAGCCAAATCTGCCTGGGAATCCCTGAGCTCAACCCCAGGGAAATGAGGGGCATGGTGTGACCTGGAGGGGCACCTGAGCTGTCAGGGCAGCCCCACCCAGCTGCTGTGTCTGCTGGGCTCAGACTGGAGCAGCACTCAGGGAGTCCCTGCGTGCTGCCTGTGAATGTCTTTGGTGAGGAAGTGATTTTAAGCACGAGAAGGCTTCTATCCAGGAACTCATTAGAGAGGGAAGTGCAGCCTTCCCCTGAGAACAGCATTTAAGTGCAGATTATCTCTGTGCTTCACTGTGTGAATGTGACCATGCCATCAGCATGTCACCTTCATGCCTCCTGGCAGCCACACTTGGCACCAAGCCCTGCGTAAGTCAGAGGCACCTTGCTGAGTTGCAGGCTGCAAAACTAATTAAAGAAAATGTGCTAATTAGTTAACTGACTTCCTATGAGTTTCCCCCTAAGAGCCATTGTACAGGCAATTTAAACAGCAAGAGGATGTTATTTGCAAGGATGAACAAATGAGGCTCAGTTGGCAATTTGGACCCAACAGAGGTCCCACAGCAAATGAGGAAGAGGCTCAGCAGGGTGACAGGAACCTCCAGCAGGTCACCTCACGCTCACAGGCACCACAGGTACCCTGGCAGGGCAGTCCCCTGCTGCCTCAGGGATGTAGGAATCAGTGCTCCTGCTCAGATGGACTGAGGCTGCAAAAGCCCTGCAAGATCATCCAGCCCAAGCTGTGCCCCATCCCTACCTTGTCACCAGCCCAGAGCACTTGTCAGCACACAGGATTGTGCAGAGCCCTGGGAGATCAGGGAACCCTGGCTAACGAGGCAAACGGGGTTTGCTCATTAGAAACTAATTGGAAAGCAGTAGTTCAAGTCAGCCAGCTCTGACTTGCCCTGAACTCTCCCCAGGCCTGCAATAACAGTCCCAGAGCTCCCATGTTTCTGGCAGGCCTCTGCAGCCATGGGAGACACTGCAGGGAACACCCCTTTTCCCCAGTGTGCCCTTGAATAGAACAGAGGGACAGCAGGTGAAGGACTGCAAGGTGTGGAGATACCAGAGGACATCACTGTCACATCAATGTGCTCAGACAAATGGAAGCTTTTTTTGGAGCACTTTTTTATGTCCCATTCAGCTACCAATTCCTTAATTGAGCAAGGAGTGTCCCCAGTGAACAAAAAGGCTGCCCTGGATGCTCATCCATGTCCTGGTGTAACTGATTTGTACCCAGAACCCAACTGCAGCACAAAGGGGAGGGGACAAACCCAGCAGAACAGCCCAGGACTCTCCCCCAGCCAGGGCCCCCATCCAGGAGCTGCTCAGGACTGATACTCACAGCCTCCACCTCCTTCAGCACTTTGTGTTTGACGTTGATGTCCTCGAACACGGCCTCGATGACCATGTCTGCCTTCTCAAAGCCCTTGTAGTCCAGCTGGCCCATCAGGTTGCTGAGGATGGAGTCCCTCTCAAATGATGTCAGGCTCTTCTTCTTCACCTTGCCGTTCAGCCTAGGGAAGGACAGCTCTGTCACAGCTCCTGAGTGGACCAGCCAGGCTGCTGGAGGTGCACCACGGGAATCCCTCCTGTCTCCCCCCAAAACTCCATCTCTGACCCTGCAGGACTGTCACTCTGTGTTCTGACCCCTCTCTCCACGTGGGAACAGGAGAGTCCTGCTCCCACAGGTGACCTGAAGGCTGGTCACTGACATTCCTGATGGCACACAGCTGAGTACTGATACTTCAGAACCAGGAGAACATGGAAAGAAACCCAGGAAGAAAACCCTGGAATGCCTCCCCTGCCATGGGCCTTCAGGCAGCCAGAATCACTCTATCTTTAGCTGAATCTTAGGTCTCTGCCTACCTAAGGCTGAGCCTATCCCACAGCAATGTCCCAGCACACTGCAGGGGACAACATTAAAATAAAGCTTTTCTGTGACACCCAGTGGCTGCTCCAGCAGAACAGCAGTGTCAGGAGCTCCTGATGCTGACAGCACAGGAGAACTGTGACTAAAGGCAGCCCAGTGCCACCAGAGGAAACCCCCTGAACTCACATACCCCTTGTAGACCTGCTGCTGGCCTCTGTCCAGACCCTTCTGTGCCGTGTCCTTCAGAATGGTCTTGATGCCCTTATCCACGGAAACCTGGGCGATGCCGGCTCCCATGAGCCCTGCTCCCAGCACAGCCAGAGTCCTGCAGGGAAGGACCAAGGGGACACCTTCAACATGGACATGGTGAAGTCCCATCACTGCTGGCAGACTCACACAGCTCCTGTCATCCACCCAGGCACCACCTGAGTGGGGCCACACAGCAGTGAGGTCTCCAAACTGCAGTGGGTCAGCCTCTGGAGGCTGGAAACCTCTGCTCTGATCACAGCTCTCCAGCCCACTCAGTCCCAGGAGCCTTTCAGAGATCCTCCAGCTGCTCCTTCAGGCATCCCACACTGGCACTTACTTGACTTCTTTCTGAGGTGTCCCAAACTTGTTCTTCTTGCAGTGCACCTGCCCGTGGTAGAGCCCCATCAGTGCCTTGGATTCCTTGGTCACTGCAAGTTGGCCAAAGCTCTGGAAGAAAGGCAAGAGGGGAGCTGAGGTGTTGGCATGAAACAGCTCTCAGTGGCAGGACACAAAAACATGGCAAGGGAGGAGACAGGCACTGTGTGACAGCACAGGTGAGCAACCTGGATAGAAAAGGAACAAGAGCCCAGGTCACCTCTGAGGAGAGGCACCTTCTGAGCTCAGCACAGCCTGCACCACCACCTCCTCCCCAACAGCACAAGGACATGGAGCTGCTGGAGAGATGTCTAGCCTCTGTTCCAGCTCCTTAAGGCATCACCCCAGGACCTGATCCCTGCCAGGATCTCCTCTCCTTACCTGGGCTTCAATGAGGTATCCAGCATCACTCCCCTGATCCAGACCAGTTTTTACGACCTAATCCAAAAGCAGTAAAGACACCACAGTTCAGTCATGCTGCAAACACACAAATGAACAGGATCCCCTGTTGTCTCCAGTGACCCCTCCCCAACATTCAAGGCATAGTTCAGACTCCCTGAATCCTGTCCCTGCTGCTCTTAGCAGAGCTGTGTCACCCTGTCCTTCTAGCACAGGACAGGTGAGGGGTTTACCACCAGGTTCATTCCCTGTGGTTTTAGGAACTGTGCTTCTGTAATGTCATGCTCTTCAAATCCTTCACAGGTTTTAGAGGAGTCTGGGCAACAACTTCAGTAGTGAAAAGTCATTTTACAATAAGGACTCATTCACAGAGTGTAACAGAAGGGACTAATAAAGCATTATGTAGTTAGTGCTGTGAAAATTATAGCAATTTCTATTTTTATGGCATCAAATAGGTCTCCTGAACTCTTCAGAGACTGTATAGAAAACTTGGGAAAAGTGCAGCTGAAAGTCTCATGGCCAAAATATTCCAGCTAAGCCTTTCCTCAGCTGGGATTCCTGCTCTACTCCTCACTGGTACCAGTACCCATAAACTGGTGATCATATTTTGAGTAGTGATTCTGAATTCTACCATTTGGTGATTCCAGTTCCTTAGTGACAGGACTGGACTCCCCTGACATGAGACCCTTCCTCCCCCACATGCATCCCACATCCACTGGGGCCACTGTTCCCACAGATCCAGGTGGAAGCACCCTGTCCTCAGGCTTTTATCAAAAATCCTTACAAACAGGTCAGTTCTCTCTGACAGCAGCAGCCTGATCCTGTTTTTAGAGGTCACAGGCAACAAAATCTCAGGCCTGCATAACCTCCCAGCACTCAGCATGAATGTTCTGAGGAACACAAAGCATAAGCACACACAAAACAAAAGTTGTCTGAGCCAAGTCTGCCAAGAAAAAGCAGGGAATGAGGTTTGGAGCAGGCTGCACCTTCCTTCACCACTGCCTTGCCTCTTAAAATACCCAAAACAAGCCTAGAAGAGAATCTGCAAACTCCTGTCCTGGGGGAGAGAGGGAGGCAGTAAAAAAGCCACAACACTGACACTTATTATTCTTCAGGGGTTCTGGGAAGATCTCCATCCTGCTGCTGTTCTGGGGAAAAAAAACCCATTCATTCTTGGCTGCAAGGAACAGAGTATCCCAAGGCTTTTATTCAGCACCAGACCAAACGTGGCTGGAATGCACAACCAGCAGGGATGGGGCACAGCCAGGAGGGCACTGCCAAGGTGACAGCTACAGCTCAGACCAGGCCTTGGCACCAGAAGGGAGCAAGAGGAGTTACAAAGCACGTCAGGGAAGTGGGAGATGGATGGATTTCACCAGCATTTAAGGGGCAGTGACCTTACAGAGATAATCAGGTGGGCACGTGGGGCTGCTGGGAACTCAATCTTGCAGAGCTGGCAGTGCCAGCTAAGCCCACCTGTGAATCTGTGCACAGCCAGAATTGCCTCTGTGGCACCAGAAATAACAAATTTAAGCACAAGAGTGGTAAAACGAGGACCAGTGAGGAAAAAATAATTAGGGATAGGTTGTTTATTATGGCAGAGAAATGGAGGGATGAGGATGGTTGAGGAGAACAAAGACTTTGTGTGTGTGGGATAAATGGGTCACATACAAGTCCTCCCTGCTGGGGAGAACACTTGCCTGCTCCAGCCCTGGACCTGCCCACCACAGTCTGTCCTACACCCTCAATTAAACTCTATTCCAGCTTTCCCTGTGTCCCAGCAAAGCTCAAGCAGGACTGGATGGTGTTTAGGACACGAGGCCCACGTGCCAGCATGGAGTGAGAGATGAAACATCCCCAGCCAGCCCCCAGAAGGAGGTGTGGAACCTCAGCTCTGCTCATCCAGGAGGAGCAGCATCACCCACCCACAGTGGCCCTGCCTGTGAGTGCTTTGTGTTGAGGCTCCCCCATCCCTGCAAGTGCCCAAGGCAAGGCTGGATGGGGCTTGGAGCAGCCTGGAAAAGGGGAAGGTGTCCTGCCCATAGCCCCACAGCCAGCACTCCTCAGGACTGATCTCTGTGAGGATCAGGATGTTGGCTTGACTCAGAGGAAGGATCACTTTCCCTCTGCCTGTCCCACATTTTCCCACAGATCCACCTGCCCTGCAGCTCCCCCCACCTCGCAGGGGTGTTACCTCGATGATCTTCAGAGGAGCAGGGTAGAGCCCTTTGGTTTGCTTTTGAACTTTGCTCTCCACTGTCTTGTAAACTTGCTGCCTGACGAAGGGAAGGGCCATGGCATAGTCTGTTAGCCCTGCAAGGTGGGACAGAACAGGGGTCAGCACAGTGCTGTGCACAGCCAGCCTGCCAGGGTGGGCTGCAGAGGTAAGGGAATACAAATGTGAATATCTGCACTAGAAACATGCACCTGAAACCCAGGCACAGGCAGCAGGGGCTGCTCAGAGGGTTTCCATGGATTATTCCATGGACAAGTCTCATTGAGGGCTGAAGTGTCCTCCTAACACAACTGGTGACACTGAGAGCCCTGGGAAGCAGAATTCCCACAGATGTCCCCATTTCTGGGCTGTGCTGTCAAGGATCAGATTGGAGCAGTCCCTTGTACCTCTTCCCACTTGAAAGGGGAAGGTGTCCTGCCCATAGCAGGGGTGGGATGGGATGGGCAGCAGGCTGTGATGAACCCTAGGTGTGGTTAAACACAAATCCCCTGATTACACCTGATACCTTGGGGTTTAAGTTTTTTCTGTTCTGTTTTGGTGTGCAGCTTTGAGCTTTATATTAAGTGTTACTGGGATCTTTTCACAGGGTGGTGAAGACAAAACAATCCTGTTGCAGTTGGAGACTCAAGGACAACCTCTTCAAATTCAGGCTCAAAGCATAAACAACGTGAAAAGAGGAGGGCAGGCAAGCAAGCAATGAGGATGAAGCTTCATCATTTGAAGATATTAATTGGACAGTTAACTCCTATATATAAATGGACTAAAATTTATAAAAGTGTGAGATCTCATGACCAAGCCCTCTTTTGCTCCCACCTTGCAGCCATCCAGACTGTGGCTCTGGTACTGCCAGGGTATAGCCTTTGAAGGCACTTCAATAAAAATCCTCTTTATTCCTCTTAACTCTGTCTAAGAGGGGCTCTAGCCCTTAGAGCAGCTCTGTGGCCTCTTTTTTTCACCTCTCTCTGTAACAACCTGAGGGTTTTCACCCAGCAGACCCCAGAAGCTGCTCCCTGCTCAGGGAGTCTGTCAGCAAGGAGGAGATAAAGCAGCACAAACACTCTGACAGCTCAGGGAAGCTCCCTGTGGAAGTTTCCCTCCTGCCCTGGCAGAATGTCAGAGCCAGTCCAAGGAAAAACAGGCCAAACAAAACACAGTTGATTTTACAGGCAGCAACAAAGTACAGCTCAGAGCAGCTGCATAATCTACATTTCAACAATGCCCAGGGGGTTTTAGAGAATTCACTGGAAACCCAAGAGCATTTGGGAGTTCAGAGCTCAAACTTCACCAGCTTCCAAATTCTATTTTCACCACGCCAGGCTGAGACCTTCAGCTTTATAACTCGATGTGCTACAAGATATCAATCCCTGATTTCATCTTTCTGGTAGCTTGGATACATTAACAAGTGCTGGATTCTGATACTCCAGCTGAAGGAAATTGCTGTTTGTTTCAAAGTCTGAGCTGTGAGAACCATTCACACTGAGTGGCTGACCCCACATATGTGGGTTTGCTTTACCTGCAGTTAATTCCCAGTGTTTTGCTGTGTCCTAACCCAGGAGCTCTGAGCTGTGCACGCCCATCTGCTTTCTTTTATAAATGGCACACGCCAGAATTGGATCCAGGCAATGCTGCAGAGCTCCCTGCTGAAGGAGAACTGATTGCATGCCCTGAAATTGCCTCCTGATTGATGGTGTGTGTCTCCTTCCAAGCTTTCTGTCATCAGTTAAAGCATCACCCCAGGTAGAGCTGCTTTCCCCAGCCACAGAGTGAACAGGAGCCCTCCTGGCACTGGCTGCTGTTTGGACAACAAGGAACACATCCAATGTTTGTATGTAATTTGTATTTCTGTGTTCCTCCTACGTGCTTCTCTGGGCTGAGCCAGATTCCCAGCAGCTCCTCAGAAAGCTCACGTTTCCTTTCAGCAAACTGGGCTAATTGTGGCTATAAACAGCCACATTTGCTACCTCTTAAAAAAAATGCCATGTTCTGCTAGTTTGGAAAGATACTTTAGATTTCTTCTCGTGCATTTTTTGTATTCGAATCTGTTGTGACTTTCAAAGTCACATTTTCCCCTTCTTCTTCCCTGTTTCCATTAATTCTTTGGGGTACTTGGGAATCTGTGAACAACAGGATCCACATTTGCAAGTTATATCTAGGAGTTTAAACTTTCAAATCCATTCTACAATCTTTTCTATCTGGAAAATACTGCTTTCAAACCAGGCTGAAAACCTGTCTTATTTATCAGGATTACTTATCAGTGTGCAAACAGTAACATGTTTTCAGCTTGCATAAAATGTGGAAAGGAAAGGGTAAAACTACCAGATCCTTTGGCATCACACTGTCATTTTGGGAATGAAGAGAACAGGGAAAAGATTGCTCTAACATGATATATGCTGGATCTAGGCAAAATTTACTGTTTGTTACATGCAGCAAAAGTCATATAAGGAAATAAAGGCACTACATACAGTTGTATGTATCCTCAGCTCCTGACCATCTTTTTGCCACCTGTGCCCTTTATTCCTCAAACCTTCCACTTGACATAACTGCAGGCAAACCCAGAATTCTGAGGTGTTCTGCCTCCCCTCCCTCTCCTTTGTGGAACTTGTGTGCCCCACCACACTGTGCCAAAACTGAGCTGTTAAACACACAGCCAGCATTTTGGGAGTGCTGAATCCCTGGAAATCCCTGACTAGAGCCAATGTCCAACCAATCCCAACCTTTGAACTCAGTGCAGGAAACCTCTCACTTGCTTTAGCTACTGCAACACAAGTGGCCCAACTTAAAGCTGTCCCACAATGAAGCAAGCCACCACAAAACCAGTTTTAGCAGCCTCTGAGGGTGGGTTGCACAATTTCCAAGCACAGGAATCCTCATTTCCAGACAATTGTATCATCAGGAGAGGAGGACACAGCACAGGGCTGATCACACAGCTGTGAGATGCTGCCAGAGGCAAACTCTGAGTCATTAATGACAGAGCAGTGCCTGGTGAATCTGCACAGGGTCACCAAGTAGACCCTGCAGCTAAATGTGCAACTTTGGGCTGAACAAACCTGGGGAGATTACAACCCTGCAGCTGGCCAGGGCCATTCACCTTCACCCAAACTGCTCCAAACACACCCAGACACTGCAGAGCCCCCAAAGCTAAGGAAACCCCCCACAGACACTCCAAGAGAAGAGACAGGTAAAATCCAAATCAGAAACTCCCTCCTGTTTCAACTCCCACTATTCTCCTCTTCCACAAAAGGCTGAAGTCCTCAGCTGTAAGTTTTAATCACAGAAACTCAGAATTGTTTGGTTGGGAAGGAGATGTTAAAGGTCATATAATCCCCTGCTATGGGCAGGGATTTAAGGTCCCTTCCAACCCAGATCATCCCATGATCCAGCTGAGCACTGGCCTGTGGGACAGCATGGACACCAGGGCTTCCTTGGCATTGCTCAGGGTGGACAGCAGCAGCTTTTCATTAATTTTATTTTCTTCAGCACCACCAGTGTGTTCTGGCTATGCTGAGCCTGGGGAAACCATGCTCAGCACCCTCTAAGCCCAAGGCAGTGCCAGCTGGAGCAGTGGCTTCCATTCTAACTCCTGAGAGGGGCTGATGGCTCCTCTTGGGAGGCTCTGGAAGGTTTAGTCCTCAAACTCCTCCATTTAGTCACCTTCCAAGAAAGCTGCCCCAGTGAAAGAACTCTGGGAGCAAGACATGATTCAGGAGCCTGCTCAGCACTTGGAATCCTGCAGTTTGCAGGGAATTTCTCCCCCCAGCTGACAGCCAGCTGGCAATTCTGAGTGCCCAAGCCATGGGGGCTCCCTGCTGCAGCTCCTGTCAGGGATTACCATCTGCAGGCTGCAGAAACACAGCCATCAGTCATCTATTGTCCTTCCATTAGGGGCTGCAATCTGTCCTCTGACATGATAAATGAGCAATGTGGGCTCTTATCTGGATAATTAGCTTGAGAGCCAGCAGGCCTGCCCTCCATGCTGACCTCTCCTGTTCACTCAGCTTCTGCAGCAGCCTCACATTTCAAGGTCCCTGTGCTTGTAAGGTGGGAACAGGGATTTCTGCTCTCCTACAGAGCAGGACAAAACCTCTCCACACATTTTAGTGAGGGGAAAGGTTCCCTGACAGGCATCAAGGAACTGAAGGACACTGTGTCTGACCTAGTGGTTCCACCAGCTGGTCAACCAGCCCCATCTTCTTGGCTCTGTCTGCACGGATGTTCCTCCCAGTCAGCATCATGTCAAAGGCAGCAGGAAGTCCCACCTAGAAAGGGCAGAAAGAAGATTCCAGAGTGGGAGTTTGCCAGGCAGAAAGGGCTATGGAGTTAAGTTTTCTTCTTACTCACCATTTTTGGCAGCCTCTGAGTACCCCCTGCTCCGGGCAGGAGACCCAGCAACACTTCAGGTGTTGCCAAGACTGTTTTCCTGTCCTTTGTTGCTACTCTGTAGTGACAGGCAATGGCAACCTTAAAAAGGAAGAGTCAAGGAAAGGTTTCTGTGTGAAAAACAACAGAAGAACCAGGCATCCACCACACAGCTCTCTCCCACACACTGCCTCAGCTTTCCTCATCACCCTGCCCCAATTCCTTCACCAACTGCCCAAATTCCCTCTGTGCTCACTGATGGCTTCTGGGGGATGACAGCAAGCAGTGTGAGATGAACATCAAATTCCCAAGCTGATTTTAGATCTCACCTAGACCATCAAGGGCTTTATTAATTCACTACACCAAGAGCACAGTCCCATCTACAGATCAGCCATGATTCCTGGTTTATCCCTGGACTGCCAAGTCCAGGTGAGTCAACACAGTGGGTGTAAAAAAAGCATTGAGAAATCAGTACAAAACTGAAGAGATTCCATTCCAAGATTACACTGCTTTAGTAACAACTCTGCTCCAGCAATCAGCAGAGCCTTGCTGTTTACAAAGCCCTGGATGGAGATTACAAGGCAGAAGATCCAGCCAAGGTGCTGGAGTGGAGCTGCAGGCAGGGTGGAGCCTGGCTGGGTCCCCACACTCACCCCTCTCACAGCAGCCCCACAAAGAATGGAAGTTGCTGGGATACAAGGCTCACTTCATCTGAAAAGCAGCAATTTCCAGGCTGAACTGTGCCAGCAGCATTGATGCAGATCCAGTGCCTGCTGGAAACAGCCAGTTTTCCCTTGGACACTCATCTAAATATTAGCCTGGCCCACACAGGTTCAGATTTGATTTGCTCTCTTTCCACAGCAGCAGCCCTGAAGCACAAGCAAGCCATTAACTTGCCACAAACTCATTTACATGATGTAATGAGCCCTCATCAGCTCCCAAATTCATCTCACACTACCAGTCCTGCCAGCATCATTTGGGGAACCAGAGCAGCAGCAGTGTCAGCTCCCACTCCTGCTGTGAGCCCCAGGATTGTCCAGTACCTCCAGCCCTCCTCCCAGGCAGCTGCCACTGATGGCAGCAACGACGGGCTTTGGAGAGTGCTCAATCTTTTCCAGCATCTTCTGTCCATCCTGAGAGAGCTGAGTCACTTCCTGAGCAGTCTTGCAGGCTTCAAGCATGCTGAGGGGAGGAGAGAAGTGGATGAGGATGGGAAAAGCATTATTTTGGTCAGTTTTTCTAACAAAACAGCAGGAAATTGAGAGGTTTTGATGAGTTTTTCCCTGTTTTCCTACAATCTCCACTGCCTGACAGGTGGGCAAGAGCTGTTTAGGCCCCAGTTTTGGATCAGGCAACACAGGGAGAATAACTAAACCCAGCAGGGTCAGGCCCTGCATGCTGACACGGGGTTTTCCTGAGGGACTGAATGGGATCCCTTGTGCCAGGGCTCTGGAAGCCTTTGGGGAAGGAGGAAAGGTTGTAGGAAGCCTCAAAGCACTTGCCAGGAAGGGTGGAGGAAAGAGCCCAGAATCACTCTTAGAGGAGCAGATGGCCAGTGCTCTGATGCCACACTGCCAATTAGAGACTCCATGTGCTAATTATTCTCCTGGAGGCTCACAGCCTTTGCCAGGCAGGAGTAATTTGGGATGCAGGAGGTGCTGAGGCCAGGAGACACCTCTTAACCACAGCCTGGCCTTTGCTCTGCTCACCTCCTTCCCTCCTGAACAGGGAGTGAGTCTCTGTCCCTGGACAAAGCCAGCCAAAAATGTAACATGGTTTTGGAGGGTCTCTTTTTAATTTACCTTCTTTCCCCAGAGCATTCTGGCTTTTAATGTCTTTAAGCAATTATTCTGTCCTGTCAGTGTCAGCAGTAGGAGCCAATGGCATTCCAGGTTCCAGTGGGCACCCACTGGATCATCCCACACCCTAAAAAGTTACCCAGGGAGCCTGAGAGGCTGCTCAGCACAGGGCAGAGTGCCAAACCCTGCCCAAACCAGGGGCCAGGCTGGAAGGCTGCCAGGCACTCCAACCCAGCTCAAACGAGTCCTGCATGTGAATTATCCCCTCTTGTTGTGCCCAAGGAAATGCCCAGCCCAGAGCCAGGATGGTTTCCTTGGCTGCAGGAAGGAGTGACCAAGTGCCACAGCCAGGAGGGGTTTAAGGACTCGCCACGTCCCTTTTTGCTGAGATCCTCACTTCAATTCCAGCAACTCTGAAATCCTGAGCAGGGGGATTTCACTCCCAGCCTGTGTTTCACCTCGGGGAGGTGTCAGGGACAAACTGCTGCATTTCAGGGACAGCTCCAGCAGCTCCTGAAGCCCTGTGCTTACTTGAGATCCTCACTTCAATTCCAGCAACTCTGAAATCCTGAGCATGGGGATTTCACTCCCAGCCTTGTTTCACCCCGGGGAGGTGTCAGGGACAAACTGCTGCATTTCAGGGACAGCTCCAGCAGCTCCTGAAGCCCTGTGCTTACTTGAGATCCTCACTTCAATTCCAGCAACTCTGAAATCCTGAGCAGGGGGATTTCACTCCCAGCCTGTGTTTCTCTGAAATCCTGAGCAGGGGGATTTCACTCCCAGCCTGTGTTTCACCCCGGGGAGGTGTCAGGGACAAACTGCTGCATTTCAGGGACAGCTCCAGCAGCTCCTGAAGCCCTGTGCTTACTTGAGATCCTCACTTCAATTCCAGCAACTCTGAAATCCTGAGCAGGGGGATTTCACTCCCAGCCTGTGTTTCACCCCGGGGAGGTGTCAGGGACAAACTGCTGCATTTCAGGGACAGCTCCAGCAGCTCCTGAAGCCCTGTGCTTACTTGAGATCTGCTCCAGCAATGAAAGAGCCTGGCTTGGAGGAGATGAGCACGGCACTCTTCACAGCCTCGTTGGCCCAGATCTCGTTCATGACGTCGGTGAACTCTGCACTCAGCTGCTTGGACAGGGTGTTCACCTGGGAGCAGAGCAGCACCTCAGCAGGAGCTCACCTGGAGCCCACACCTGCTGCAAGTTACTTCAGCCCTGCCCTAGTACAAAAACCCCTCCTGGATAAAACCTGCAGCAGGTCATCTTTAATTAGGGAGTTCCTCTTTAACCTTCCCAACAGTGGCCTCAAATATTGATTTTATGAACTTGTAAACTGGTTTGTTTTTTCTTTGTTATACAATCATAGAATCACAGAATGGTTTGGGATGGAAGGGACCTTTCAAGGTCATCTCATCCAACCCCCTGCAATGAGCAGGGACACCTTCCCCAGAGCAGGTTGACAACATCCCTCCAGCTTTACTGAAAGGCTGCAAAAAGCAGGACAAATCCAGCCTGGGTTCTTTAGGTACCACCAAATCCTCACATAAAATAGAACATTTCAAACCTGAGACTGCTGCTACTCCTCAAAGGAAAGGAGTGTATTAAAAATCCCTTCTAGTCTGCTAAAATTAACACAAGATTTTTCAAAGCAGTAGTAGTTCAATCTTTATATTTTTTATAATATCAGAGCAGCTCAGCTCCTGTGCTTTAAAAACCATGTTTTTATTGCAAGCCCTATCATTGCTCATAAAGAGCATTTCCATCTGTGAGATGACACCTGAAATTCACTACTGGTTATGTGACTCCAAAATGCATTTTCAGATGTGTTCCTTAGATGTCATTCACAGAGTTCCTCCTGATACCTGAACAACTGCAGCTGTATTGACCTAAAAAATGAGAATTAGGTTCTATTTATATCATATTCATGATAATAAAATCAAAACCACTTATGGATTCCAAATTACTGAAGTATGGACACATTCTTTAACTGACTTGAATACAAGAACTAAGCAAGATTTAATTTTTTTTAAGTTCTCCTTAAGATTTGGAACTCAATAAGACCTTGTGCTTGGGAGAGAGACAAATTAGCTTAGCACACACAAAGCACACCAAGAGGCATCTCCAGATGTCTCATCAAAATCCCCAAATCTTCTTTTCCTACTTCTTTGCTCCCAGCTCTGTAAGGCTGTAGGTAAGGGAAGTTCTTAGCCCTAAATGGGAATTTTCAATACCTTGGAATTTGGTGTGTTGAAGCGCACGACAGCAACATCCCCTTTGATATCACAGCTGACGTGGGTTCTGTCTGCAAGCAAACACAGACAAAAAAAAGGGGTGGGCTCAGCTCCTGCTCCAGGGATTTGAAGGGAAAAAATGGATTTATAGAAAAGCTTCACACTTACTCTAAGCTGAGCCTGGAGGTGAGAAAAAATAAAGGGAAAAAATGGATTTATAGAAAAGCTTCACACTTACTCTGGAGGGCACTGGAAGTGGAGATGTTACGGCAGGCATAACCTAAGGAAAAGATGTCACAGGTGTTAAAGGAATCCTCAGCAGCCTCAGTCTCTCCCAGCTCCCCTGGCCTGCCAAGAACAGCTTTTGGAAAGCCTGGGCACGAGCCAGTCTCTCCCCTCACAGCCTGACTTGTGCCCCACCAGAGTCCAGCAGTCCCAGCAGTGACCTTCCAGCACAGACCTCACTCTGCAGTGCCAGCAGTGCCCAAATGAGAGCAGAAAAATGAAATCCCTCTTCCCAAGCAGCTGGCAAGGGATGGAGCAGGTGGCACAGAGAGTTTGGCCTTCATCATCCTCATTCCAACCTCTTCATGTGCTAAACCAGGGACTTTCCTGCACTTTGGGGAGCTTCAAGGTGGATTCCCTGCAGAGCAAACACAACTGTACAGGGTATTTCTGTAAAAACACACTCTGGTGCCAGCAAACGGGGCCAGTCCAAGTGTGACCATACAGTTCTCATTTTTAAATATAAAAATATTTATTCTTGCCTCCATCTATCAACAAAACACTCAGAATCACAGACTGGTTTGGGTGGGAGGGATCTTAAAGCCCAGCCAGTGTCACCCCTGCCATGGCAGGGACACCTCCCACTGTCCCAGGTGCTCCCAGCCCCAGTGTCCAGCCTGGCCTTGGGCACTGCCAGGGATCCAGGGGCAGCCCCAGCTGTGCCAGGGCCTGCCCACCCTGCCAGGGAACAATTCCCAATTCCCAATCTCCCATCCAGCCCTGCCCTCTGGCAGTGGGAGCCATTCCCTGGCTCCTGTCCCTGCAGGCCTTGTCCCCAGTCCCTCTGCAGCTCTCCTGGAGCCCCTCCAGGCCCTGCCAGGGGCTCTGAGCTCTCCCTGGATCCTTCTCCTCTCCAGGTGAGCCCCCCCAGCTCTCCCAGCCTGGCTCCAGCCCTGGAGCAGCTCTGGGGTCTCCTCTGGGCTCTCTCAGCAGCTCCAGGTCCTTGTGCTGTTGGAATCCTCAGGGCCGGGGCAGCTCTGCAGGTGGGGAGCTGCTCTCCCTTGTCCTGTCCCTCCAGACCCTTGTCCAGGGTCCCTCTCCAGCTCTTGGATCCAGCTCCACTAATGACATTCAAAGCACATGAACACCTCTTCTTCCAGATCCCTCAGAAAGCTCAGACCACAAACAAACAAGTTCTGCCCACAAGTTTCTCACCCCTAAATCTCCTTTTTCTGCTCAGAAATTCTGTTTGGCACCACGACCTCTTGACCCTGAGGATCCCCCAACTCAGATCCAGGCTGAACCCCTGCCAAAGCTGCTTTAAGCCTGAATTCCAGTGAAAGTGTTACTTCCACACGTACCCATCTACCAGCCAGCACACAGCAATTAGCCAGGGGCGGGCTCTGCTCAACACTGATAAAGCCTTCAGGAATGAAACATTCCCATTCCCAGCAGCAAGCAGGGAGAATAACACAACACCAGGAGAATAAACTGCAAACTGTGCCTCCCCAACAGGTGTCTCCCCCTGCCACAGCCCCGTGACACAGGCTCAGGGCTGCACTTTGGCCTCCTTTCCACCTTGTCCGGGGTGCTGGCAGTAGGGACTGACCTTTGCTCCCATTCCTGAGCCCAGGACATGCAGTGTGATGCCATGGGGATGGAAATTCAGCGTCAGGCTGTCCCAGCAAACAGCTCTGGGGTGCCTGTGTGTGTGTCATGTGCCCACAGCAGCGTTTTATAAACAAAGAGTGAACCAGTTCCCACTCCAAAGCTCCTCAGCAATATTTAATACCCACATGTGATAGCTCCACCCAACAATAATTTCCCTAAACTCTTTGTGTACTCCTGAAAATAAGCACCAACATTCAATTCCCACAATCCAAGTGTGGGCTGACAACAATTACTCTGGCGAGAGATGCTGCCCAGCAGAACACCATGCACTTTAACAACAATATTTTAACCCAATAAAAGCCCTTTCTTTACAGAGAAAGCAAGGCCTGAACTGTCTCCCTGAATTAATTCACTCAATCCCTGCAGCAAGCTGGGATAGTGGAAGGTGTCCCTGCCCATGGCAAGGGTGTGGAACAAGATGAGCTTTAAGATCCCTCCCAGACAAACCAGTCTGGCATTCCAGGTTTTTTGTTCTTTAAATGGCTTTCCTTTTCCATATCAGTTCCCAAACAGATTCCTTCCATGAAAACCTTCAGCCTTCAATTCCACTCTGCCTTTCCATTCTCACAAAACAGAAGAGATGAAATAGGAAAAAAAAAATAAATCAAGGGCACGACTGCACAAATCTCACTCCACTTGAACATAAACTCTTTTGGGAGAGGTGCTGTCAGCAGTGTACCTTCTGTAGCCAGACAGTGGTTTATTTTAATTCCAGCATATTTGTGGAAAACATCTTTTGCTAGGAAGCAAAAGCAGCTCCTTGTCCTGGTCCCTGCACATCTGCTTTAGGTGTTGATCCCTTCAGCACTGCAAGGGGAATGTACAGGAGCCAGAAAATTCCTCCAAAATGCTGCAGGAAGCAGAAGCCCAGCCTCAAACTCCCACCATATCCCATCATTCATTCCAGAGTTAAACCCTGAAAATCAGTTCCAGTCTCACTCCAGCTCAAACACTGTCCAGCACCAGGACACCAACACTTCAGGTGCCCTCAGGATTTTGGATGCACCAGAGAATGGACAACAGCCACCCCACAGCCCAGCCTGCTCCTTTGCACTTTCTCCTCTCCCTGTTCCTACCTCAGCTGCCTCCCTGCCCAGCACTTCCCACCCTTCCACTCACCGGGACGGTGCACACGGCTTGAACTGGGAGCAGCCTCCATGGCTCAGGGAAAAGTCCTGGAGCCCTTTTTCCAGCCCTGGAGCAGCCCAAGCCTCAGCAGGACGGACAGGATGAAGCTCAGGCCACCTAAGCACGGAGCTGTGACCCGTGAGATGGGAAGCTCCTGGCAGACTGAGCTTCCCAAGCCACCCTGGGAAGCTGGTGGCACAGGGATGTGGCCCAGCAGGTACAGCCAGCCCTGGAGCTCACCTGGCTCCTGACTGCTCCCTGCCTTTGGGCTGCCCCCGAGAGCTTTGCACGCACTTCCCAAACGCTTTGCAAGGCAGAACGAGGGGATTCATTCATTATGAACAGGGACAGCGTCCTCACAGCAGCTCCAGGGCTGTTTGTTGTGAAGAGCTTTACCGGTCAGAACAAGAATTCCAACCAGCAGCAGCCTGAGGACTCCCTGCAGTTAGCACAAGTCTCCTCCTCAATGATTGCAGCACCCTGTCACGTACAGACCTGCACCAAGGCTGCACGTAACATAGCTGTGATCCCAGAACCATGGAACTGCTCACTGTGGTCCAGAGCCATGGAATTGCTCACCAGGATCCCAGAGCCATGGAATTGCTCACCAGGATCCCAGAGCCATGGAATTGCTCACCAGGATCCCAGAGCCATGGAATTGCTCACCAGGATCCCAGAGCCATGGAATTGCTCACCAGGATCCCAGAGCCATGGAATTGCTCACCAGGATCCCAGAGCCATGGAATTGCTCACCAGGATCCCAGAGCCATGGAATTGCTCACCAGGATCCCAGAGCCATGGAATTGCTCACCAGGATCCCAGAGCCATGGAATTGCTCACCAGGATCCCAGAGCCATGGAATTGCTCACCAGGATCCCAGAGCCATGGAATTGCTCACCAGGATCCCAGAGCCATGGAATTGCTCACCAGGATCCCAGAGCCATGGAATTGCTCACCAGGATCCCAGAGCCATGGAATTGCTCACCAGGATCCCAGAGCCATGGAATTGCTCACCAGGATCCCAGAGCCATGGAATTGCTCACCAGGATCCCAGAGCCATGGAATTGCTCACCAGGATCCCAGAGCCATGGAATTGCTCACCAGGATCCCAGAGCCATGGAATTGCTCACCAGGATCCCAGAGCCATGGAATTGCTCACCAGGATCCCAGAGCCATGGAATTGCTCACCAGGATCCCAGAGCCATGGAATTGCTCACCAGGATCCCAGAGCCATGGAATTGCTCACCAGGATCCCAGAGCCATGGAATTGCTCACCAGGATCCCAGAGCCATGGAATTGCTCACCAGGATCCCAGAGCCATGGAATTGCTCACCAGGATCCCAGAGCCATGGAATTGCTCACCAGGATCCCAGAGCCATGGAATTGCTCACCAGGATCCCAGAGCCATGGAATTGCTCACCAGGATCCCAGAGCCATGGAATTGCTCACCAGGATCCCAGAGCCATGGAATTGCTCACCAGGATCCCAGAGCCATGGAATTGCTCACCAGGATCCCAGAGCCATGGAATTGCTCACCAGGATCCCAGAGCCATGGAATTGCTCACCAGGATCCCAGAGCCATGGAATTGCTCACCAGGATCCCAGAGCCATGGAATTGCTCACCAGGATCCCAGAGCCATGGAATTGCTCACCAGGATCCCAGAGCCATGGAATTGCTCACCAGGATCCCAGAGCCATGGAATTGCTCACCAGGATCCCAGAGCCATGGAATTGCTCACCAGGATCCCAGAGCCATGGAATTGCTCACCAGGATCCCAGAGCCATGGAATTGCTCACCAGGATCCCAGAGCCATGGAATTGCTCACCAGGATCCCAGAGCCATGGAATTGCTCACCAGGATCCCAGAGCCATGGAATTGCTCACCAGGATCCCAGAGCCATGGAATTGCTCACCAGGATCCCAGAGCCATGGAATTGCTCACCAGGATCCCAGAGCCATGGAATTGCTCACCAGGATCCCAGAGCCATGGAATTGCTCACCAGGATCCCAGAGCCATGGAATTGCTCACCAGGATCCCAGAGCCATGGAATTGCTCACCAGGATCCCAGAGCCATGGAATTGCTCACCAGGATCCCAGAGCCATGGAATTGCTCACCAGGATCCCAGAGCCATGGAATTGCTCACCAGGATCCCAGAGCCATGGAATTGCTCACCAGGATCCCAGAGCCATGGAATTGCTCACCAGGATCCCAGAGCCATGGAATTGCTCACCAGGATCCCAGAGCCATGGAATTGCTCACCAGGATCCCAGAGCCATGGAATTGCTCACCAGGATCCCAGAGCCATGGAATTGCTCACCAGGATCCCAGAACCATGGAACTGCTCACCATGGTCCAGAACCACGGAATTGTTCACCATGATCCCAGAGCCATGGAACTGCTCACCATGATCCCAGAGCCATGGAACTGCTCACCATGATCCCAGAACCATGGAATTGCTCACCAGGATCCCAGAACCATGGAACTGCTCACAATGATCCCAGAACCATGGAACTGCTCACCGCTCACCCTGATCCCAGAACCATGGATCTGCTCACGTTGGAAAAGAGCTCTAAGAGCACTGTTCAGCTCTGAACCGAGCCCAGGATTGGGTTTAAATGAAACACAGCTGGATTTTGGGTCAACATCAACACCAGACTCTGAGGCCCTTCAAAGTGCCCAAATATGAGGTTTCCAGAGCTTCCCAGCCAGGCCCTTTGGCTTTCCCAGGGCTCCTGGGGACTCCCTGCCTTGGTAGCCAGGAAGCACCAAGGCAGCTCTGTGAAGAGGCAGGAGAGAGCCACAGCCCTGCCCGAGCTGGCAAGGGAGATGCCCCACACAAAATCATGGAATCACTGAATCCCAGGATGGTTTGGGTGGGAAGGAACATTAAAGCCCATCCAGTGCCACCCCTGCCATGGCAGGGACACTGCCACTGTGCCAGGGTGTCCCAGTGTCCAGCCTGGCCTTGGGCACTGCCAGGGATCCAGGGGCAGCCCCAGCTGTGCCAGGGCCTGCCCACCCTGCCAGGGAACAATTCCCAATTCCCAATCTCCCATCCAGCCCTGCCCTCTGGCACTGGGAGCCATTCCCTGGCTCCTGTCCCTCCATCCCTTGTTCCTCAGTCCCTCTGCAGCTCTCCTGGAGCCCCTTTAGGCCCTGCAAGTCCCTCCTAAGTTCTCCCCAGAGCTTCCTCTTCCCCAGGGTGAACAATCCCAACTCTCTCAGCTGAGAGATCATGGAGCACCTGCAGATACCCTCCCCCAGGCAAGTGGGATTAGAGGGTCACAGGGATCCCCCTTCCCTGGAGTGCAGCCACAAGATCCACACTGCCAAGGGCATGGGGACATCCTGTCCTTTCCAAGCAGGCTCTCAGGGCACTGGGACAGGCACATGTGTGAGGGCACAAGGACACTCTCTCCCTTTGGCTCAGCTCACGTGTAGGGACCATCCTGAGTGGAGGGTGTGTCCTCCTTCAGTGCCAGGCCACAGGGACCCCCCAGAACTGCTCAGAGGTTCCTTGCCTGTGCAAGGACTGGCACTGCAGGATGTCCCCATGGGGACACATAACCCCCAGAGACCACAGGACACAGGGGGACAGACGCTGGGGGGGGATGTTGGGGACCTGCCAGGAATCCCCCAGGTGACTCCCAGGCCATGGGGACAAACATGGGGCACAGACACACACGGGGACAGCTCCCACCCCACAGCTGCCCTGGGGACCCCCTGCCCCAATTCTGATCCTCACAGACCCTTCCCTGGGAACTCCTCACAGCCCTCACGGTCACACCACCCGAGGAGCCCTTCGGGACCCCCGGACAAGGCCCAACCCCTGCCTCAGCACCAGACAATCCTCTCTGGGACACCCTGTTCCTCATCCCGTCAACACCACCCCTGCCCCTCGCCCCCTCAGTGCCCTCCTGCCCTCACCTCTCAGTGCCTCCTCACCTTCCCCGCAAAACTATCTCCTCAGTGGGCCCTGTCTCACGCCAGTCCTCGCTCCCTCAGTGCTCCCCGACCCTCCACTGCCCCCTCGTTGTCCCCCTGCCCCTCAGCGCTCCCTTTCTCAGTGTCCCCACAGTGCCCCTCCGCTATCTCCGTCCCTTACCCCTCACTGCGCCTATCCCCCGCTGCTCCCCTCACGCGGGGGACACCGCACGCCAGCCGCTCCCGCTCCCCGCCGTCCCCTCGCTCACCTCGGGGCGGGGTGTGCCGCGTCGGGCCGGCCCTGGCGGCGGCCGGGAGGCGGCCGAGGCTGCCGATGGCTCTCACCGCCGCCGCCATCTTCGCCGAGGTCGAATGAGGGAGAGGCCGCCGGGGGCCTGAGCGCGCCCGCCCCGCCCACGCCGCCCCGCCCGCGTCCGCCCGCCGCGCTGCCCGCACGCTTCACCGCCGCCAACACACCGCTACCTCCTTGTCCTCCGCTCTCCGCGGTGTCTCGGCTGTTTTCAATCCACGCCGAGCCGGAGCGGATTGCGGGAGGAGCCGGGGTAGGGCTGCGGAGCGGCGGCGGAGGGAGGGGTGTGGGTCAGGCGAGCGGCGGGCAGGCCGGAGGGTGTGGGGGGTGCGGGGCCCTTGGTGAGTGGCGGCGCGGCGGTGGCAGAGCGGGGTGAGGGCGGAGGTGAGCGGCGGGAGCGGACGGGGCGGTCAAGGGCTCCGTCCTGGCTGGACGGGAGTGTGGGAAAGGTGAGAGGAGTGGGGAGTCGGTGCCGGGGAAAGGGGTGGGGGTTAGGGGTAGGCGGCTCGGTCCGGGCTGGAGCAGAGGATCGGGGGTCGCTCCTCAGTGGGCGGGGGAAGGATGAAGGGAGGCCGGGGGGCGGTCCTGGATGGACGGGGAGATGTGAGGGGAGCCGGGGGACTCGTTCCGGGTGGGAATGAGTGAGTGAGGGGAGTCGGGGGGTTCGTTCTGATGGACGGGGAGACGTGAGGGGAGTCGAGGGGCTCGTTCCGATAGCCGGGGAGCAGTGAGGGGAGTCGGGGAGCGGTCCCGGATGGACAGGGAGACGTGAGGGTAATCGGGGTGCTCGTTCTGGATAGAAGTGAGGGAGTGAGCGGAGTCGGAGGGTTCGTTCTGGATAGAAGTGAGGGGAGTCGGGGGGCTCATTCCGGATGGAAGTGAGAGGAGTCGGGGGGTTCGTTCTAGATAGACAGGGAGCAGTGAGGGGAGTCGGGGGGTTCATTCCGGATAGAAGTGAGAGGAGTCGGGGGTTCCTTCTAGATCGCTCTAGATAGAGGGGGAGCAGTGAGAGGAGTCGGGGGGCTCGTTCTGGATGGGAGTGAGAGGAGTTGGGGGTTCCTTCTAGATCGTTCTAGATAGAGAGGGAGCAGTGAGAGGAGTCGGGGGGCTCGTTCTGGATGGGAGTGAGGGGAATGAGGGGGGTTGGGGGATTCATTGTGGATAAAAGGGAGGGGAATCAGGGGGCTCATTCTGAGTGGGAGTGAGGGGAGTCGGGGGGCTTGTTCTGGATGGACGGGGAGGCGTGAGGGGAATTGGGGGGTTCGTTCCATATAGAGATGAGGGGAGTCGGGGGGTTCGTTCCGGATGGAAGTAAGGGGCGTCGGGGGGTTCATTCTAGATCGTTCTAGATAGACAGGGAGCAGTGAGGGGAGTCAGGGGGCTCGTTCTAGATCATTCCAGAGAGACAGGGAGCAGTGAGGGCAGTCGGGGGGCTCGTTCCGTGTGGGAGTGAGGGGAGTCGGGGGGCTCGTTCTGGATGGACGGGGAGACGTGAGGGGAATCGGGGGGTTCGTTCCATATAGAGTGGAGGGAGTCGGGGGGTTCATTCCAGATGGACGGGGTAGAGGGGCTGAGAAAAGCTGCGGAGGGCCCGGGGGGTCGGTCCCGGGTGCATGAAGGGACCGAGGGGTTGGTCCTGGGCGGATGGGAGGGGTCGGGAGTCGGCCCTGGGTGGATGAGGGGGATTTGGGAGTGGCTGAGAGCAGCGCGGGTGTGTTTGGGGTGGGCGCTGGGAGCCCCGGGGTGACGGTGCTGCGCTGTGGAAGAGTCAGGGTGTGTGGGGACGGGAAGGGAGCAGGGGCTGTTCATGGAATTGGGGATTGTCCTGAGTTGGAAGGGATCCCTGAGGAGCCTGGCTCAGCTGTGGAATCCAGGCAAATCCAGGCTCTGCGAGGAGTTTTGCCATGGTGATTTGTGCAGGCAGGGCTGAGCCCTTGGGATGCCAGGGGAGCACTGAAAATGAGGGGGTTGGGGGCGTTTGGGGGGTGCAGGAACGGGGGTGCAGTGTAGGAGGGAGGAGGAGGTTACACCTGGGAGAAACTTCTGTCAGCTGGGCTGGGAAAATTTAGGGAAAAACCTCAATCAGGCGTGGGGAGGGAGGTTGGCACAGGTGGAGGAGAAGCAGGATGCTTTGGAAAGGTTTGGTTTTGGGATCTTTGTTGGCAGGAGGAACCTGGGGCTGGGAAGGGGCACGTTCCAGGTGTGGAGCTGCAGCTGGGAGGTGTCAAAGGGGGTGACTGAAAGCTTGTGCTGAGTTTTGGGGAGCTGCAGAGGGCTGGGTTTGGTACTGTGGGTGTTCCTGTGCCCCTCCATGGAAAAAACTTTGTGCTTGGGAGAGAAAGTGCCAAGATTTGAACCCCAAAGTGTGACAGAGGGAGATGAATGTTGGCATGGATCCAGAGCCCTGGAGTTGTGAGGGCCATCCCTGGGCAATAAGACCTGCAAATGAGGGTTTGTTTGTAGGGAAAGCTGATTTGGGAAAGCTGCAGAGGAGTTTTTGGGGGTGGAGGACATGAACTTGCTCTGTTTGCCACGGGGATGAACAGCAGGAGCTCCTCAGGCTGGCACCAGGGGCTGACAGGGGGCAGGGGTGCCAAGGACACTGCTGGTGTCAGGAGGTGCTGCTGGCAGCAGCCTGCCTGGGCACTGGGACAATTTTCCAGTGGGAAGTGGAGGGAATTGAGAAGCTCATTGGGCAGTTTTTATTCACAGGCACAAACCAGGCTCCGAGCGTGGTGGGAGGTGATCCCCTGTGCTGCTGCTGCTGCCCTTGGAGTGTGTTGCCCTCACCTTGCTGGCTCTGTGTGAGGCAGGCAGGACTCTTCCCTTGGGATTTTTCTGGACAGAGCAGCTTGGACTTGAGCCCAAGATCCCAAAATGAGTTCCATGCTGAGCTCTGCCCTGAGGAACCTCCCTGTGTCCTCAGCCTGGGCTGCTGGGGCCTGTGAGTATCTTTAGCTTTTATTGGTGGGCATAAAGCTCTGGTTGAAGTGTTGGGTTTGGAATGGATGCTGGGGTCTGAACCTGCCCTGTTCTCACCTTTAAAAGGCTGATAGTGTTTTATTTTTTAATCCCAATTACATTGTTGCCTTGTTTGTTCCTTCCTGCATCATATGGGGAGGAGTCTTGAGTTAACAGAAAGTGTGTCAGGTTTCTGGACAGAGTAAACCACCCCACAGGTGGACAGGTGTCTTACAGTGACATCATTTGCTTTTCCAACCCTTCTTACAGAGACTAGAACTGCTTCTAACATTTTTTTGGCTTTTTTTTTTTCCCTTTTCTTGTTTTCCAGTCACTCGATCACTCAGCTGCTCCTCGCAATTCCAAGCTGCAGGTAAGGGGAAAACATCAGAATCTCAGTGGGTCTGTGCTAGACAGGGCTGTTTTGGAAGCTTAAATCTTAGAAATTAAGCAGGATGCAGAGTGGTTCAGGTGTTCCTGAAAAGCTGCAAGCAAGGAAAACTTCAGGCAAAACAGTGTTTGCAGCAGAGTCCTCTCATCCCCTGAGTGCCCTGGCTCCCAGCAGCCATTCCCAGTTTTTAGTCACAGCCCACAGTGAGTGGTTGGGGTGATCCATGCTCTGGGTTCACTGTGGGGGTTGCTCAGGTGACTCAGGCTTTGGGATTTTGGGAACAGGCCTGGACAGCAGCTCCCCATCATCCCCTGGGCTTTGGAAAGAGCCTGAAGGAATCTCCAGACAGTGCTGGAGTTTTGTCCTGGCACTGACCTGTGGAATGATGCTGGATCATGATATCCCTTGTCTCAAACCTCTCCCACTGGGGAGAGAATTTCTTCCCATTAGGAAGAAACTCTTGGCTGTGAGGGTGATGAGGCACAGGCCTCATCCCTGGAAGTGTTCCATTGGCTGGAGCTGGGGGCACACAGAAAGTGTCCTTGCCCATGGCAGGGGGTGGCACTGGATGAGCTTTGAGGTCCCTTTCTACCCAAACCATTCCAAGATTCCATCTCAGGTGTCCTACCTTCCCTGCCTTTCACTTACACACCAAAAAAGGACATTTTTTCTTTGTTTTCTAGAAATCTTTGCAGGATCTATATGAAAATTGCTGATATTCTTGTCACCATCACTTCTCTCTTCACAGCCCAGCCAAAGACTAAGAAGAGCTTGGGCAAAACTGGGGTGAAGAATGTGGTGGTGGTGGAGGGTGTCCGCATTCCCTTTCTGCAGTCTGGCACCACGTGAGTATCAGAGAGGAGTGAAACCCAGAAAACACCCCCTGATTTGGTTAAAACTCAGCTCTTTCTGAGAAAAATCTCACTTCTTCATTTAATGTAGTTATTCTTGGGGCCTAAAGGCTCAGGTGGTGCCCTGAGTTGGGTTGCTGCCGTTTTTGCAGCTTATTTAGTGCAGGAATGTGGTTTGAAGAAGGTTGTTCCTGTGTTTGAATCCTGGGAAGAGTGAGGATTTATGGAGCATGTCTAGAGGAAGCAGTTGGAGAATTTATAGCAGATGAAGCAACAAGTTTGACAGAACTGGCAGGACAGGGGCCAAGAATCTGCTGTAGGCTCTTCTTCCTGGATTGTTGTGCCACCAAATCCACAGCTGAACTAGAGCCACACCTGACTGTTAGGATGGAGAAGGGATTTCTTTATCTGCTCCCTGCTGCTTTTCTGCCCATAGCAGGGGTGGCACTGAATGAGATTTAGTGTCTCTTCCAACCCAACCCAATCTCTGATTCCTTGAAATGTTTGCTCAGAAGCTCAGTGGAGCATTTCTGGTCCATCCCCAGTTCTTGCTGCTCACAGGAGAATTCTGTCCTGATTTCTGTACTGAGAATTCTGCACTGATCTCTCACACCTCTGAGTTTCTTCCTCTGCTCTTCACCCTCCAGGTATGCTGATCTGATGCCACATGACTTAGCCAGAGCAGCACTGCAGTAAGTAAATGGAACACTGGGAGGGCTCAGAATTCTTGTTAAACTGCTGAGGCTTCAGAGTTGCAGAGCCAAGGCTCTGGGCTTGGTTCTGAACAGTTCAGATGCTTTATTTTTCCTGGCCTCCCTCCACAGTAGTGGGTGGCTTAAGCACTGGGGTTTGTGTTGTTTTTGGGGTTTTCAGTAGGTCGGTGTTGATGCAAAGAGATGCTGGTGGTG